TTTCAAACTTGTTAAAGTGACCCTAATAATACAGAGAAAAAGTAGGGCTCAAATCAAACTCAGTAGGAAAAAAGGAAAACATAAACCCTTTAAGGGATTTTATTTCATTTGGATCGTCAAACCACATTAAGGCCAACTAGACTATCATTTGAGGTGCACAGAACTCAGTAGCTCTAAGGACAATAATGGTATTAAGTCAGAAGTCAATAGAATTCATACAATTATGTTTAATCAACTAAATGAGGTATCAAACCGCTGCAGTTAGGGTGTGTAACCCAGATAAACAACCAGGACGTGTTTTTAGCCCCAATAGCAGCATCAGACCAGCTAATTTAAGGCCATTCATGTTGCATCTCCTTTGCCAAATTGCAACATGTATTTTTTCTGCAGTTTAATAAGTGAAATCTATCCAAACAGCAGTGGGGGTGCATGCATGAACTTGCACTAAATTTATTGTCATTTTTAAAGTTGGTCTAATTCTAAGTTCATATGTGCACTGTTGACTCTACTGCAGTTGCTTGCTGTATAATCATTCCTACCGTAAAAAAATACAAAAAAATGTCCTAAGTGTGTAAAAAAAAAAAAAAAAAAACATTTAATCCACCATCAAACATATGTAACCTTATCACTGTTACTGTATTTGAACATCTTAAGTGGCTGGTCAGTCTTACCTATTCAGCTGTTAAAAAGAGGGTTCACTGGGGCGCTCAGTGCCCTGAGGTGTAAACCTGAGATGGAAATACAGTAATTGCTCCTCAAGTCTCTAAATACTGAGGAGACAAACTTTTAGGTTACCCTCTGTAAGAAGAAGTTATGAAAGAATCTAATCAAGCTTTATTGTCAATCAGACAGTATTGTCCCAAAACAGAAAATTTCTATAAAAAAAAATAAAAAAAAAACTGTCTTAAAAGCTGTGTTTTTTTTTTTTCTTGTTATCTTATGCAGGCCAGATAGTTATACATCCGGCTATACACCTAAATTCGGCCAATCATATATCAGTGGTTGAAATAAGAAATAAGAATTATTTACTTTCCCATTGAGTTCCGTCCCAGTGTTCACGGTGATGGACGTCTGTGTCTTCTGCAGGCATAGAGCTAACAGAACTGGCAGCGTTGCGAGGCAAGGGCTCAAACATGTACGGCTGTAAGCCTTCTACACCAAACCAAGCTTCTGCTGCCCTGGCGTCCTCTTCCAGATCTTCGTCCCCGCTTTCCTCCTCTAAATAAAAAATGTATGACGGAGGAGACTCGTCCACGACCTCCGACACAAAACTCTCCTCCTCTTGCATGTTTCCTCTGTCCATAGCGTTCCTTGACAGTATCGTTTCTAAGTCACCAATTTAGTGCTACTTGGTCCCAATGGAATTTCTCATTGGGAACCTACTAGCACTAAGTTGCTAACTGGTTAGCAGGATGCTTCCGAGACACGGCTACAATGAAACTTGCTTATAAACCTTCCGCCACACCAATCCCACCCCCTTTATAATCGACCACTCGGGAGAACTCGGAAATGCAACAGTTGGAACAGCCGTTTCCCTACGATTTTAAAGGGTTCTGTTGATAAATTGTCTTACTTAGCTGATCAAATGAAGCGAAAATGCATTTTTTGTTTTTCAAAAAAAGTTGGCTTAGTTATATTTCCGTTTTTACAACGTGTCTTCTCTTTGGCCTTTTAGGAACAGGTTGTCCTCACTGCACCAACCCTCACCGAGTTCAACTCCTTTCATTTTCCCTGAGTCATTGTTTCTATTTATCAGTCTGACTGCTGCAGTGTCATCATGGACCCATGTGATAAGGTTCCCCTCTTATCTTGATAAACAGCCACGTGTTAACAGAGGAAAGAACAGGGGGCTAAGAACAAAACCTTGAGGATACCCGCCCCTGAGTACAATGAGATATGACCCGATATTTCTTTACCAAACCTTTAACTGATAACTAATCCAACTTTTGAATTTTAGGAAAAATAATCCAATATTTTTTATTCTGTAAAGGACATTGATAAAAAGAGATCCTATTTTCTCCCCACAATAAAATCCTATTTGTTCTGATATAATTTGGAAAATGTATGAGTTAAAACTTTGATGACTGAAAAAAAAAAGATAAAAATACATTTAAAGCTAAAGGACGCTCAACTCTGCTATTCTTAAGGTGAACTTTGAAAGAAAACAACAAACCAACTGAATGAAGACAACAACAACTGGATAAACAAAGAATAAAATCCGGAATTCAGTAAATCATGTCTCATGACTCAGTATAACATTGTGTTCAAATCACATTGAAGCAAGAGAAACTAATAATTTTGGTTTCGGTTCTTCTTGGTTCGTTCGTTTAAGGAAGCTTAAAAAAAGCAAAGTCGGGGAAAAAAAAATAATCTGTTGCCACAGAGAGACTGTTTCTACATTTCTGCCTAAAAAAAAAACAACATCTGGTTATGTCGGCCAAAACCTTTCCATCAGCATACAGTGCAGAAATCACATTTGCTAAACCTGATACTTTTCTTCATCGTTCATAGAATGCAATGAGAAGAGTTTTATACATAAAAATAAACAAAATCCTTTTTCTTTTAATCAAAGCTAAAAAAAATATGATACAGCAATATTCTCCCAGACAAATGAGCCTTTAGGTCATAGTGCTATATCGTGGAAAAACACTAAAGCTGCAGCAAAACTAAAAATCAGGCAATTAGGACCGTCATTAGGAGCCATCAGCAAACAGGCCTCTGTACAGCCAGCAGCTCCCTGTCTCACTTATCAACAGCCTGATAGCTCAAACAACAGCATCAAACTGCCACCTTTATCTGCACTGAACATTTTCCATAAAAGAATACAACAAACACAGAGCTTGTAAAGCTTCATGTTGCTTTTACAAACTTAAAATCGTTTCTTAACTGAGAAGTGACACAATTATCAGTTCTTTACATGACTCTATATTTGTCTTCAGCCCCCTTTTCTCCGACAACTTTTCTTAAAAGTCACCCAACTAGTAAATCTCAGTATGAATTAAGCTGTTCTTTGAAAGCCTTTGAGATTTGTTAACCCTTTATAGGGCACTCAGTGAAATACTTTGACAATACTTTTTTACATTTGTAACATGAAAAAAAATATGGATATTTTGATGGCAAAAATTAAAGTCAATGTAATAACAAGAAATTCCAACTTGCCTGAATATATTAAGAAAAATAACAAAAGTTATTCCATAATAAATTCATGAAAAACACCCTGAGAGTGAAAGAAACATTTTTTAGTTTATGAACCTAAATATAATTAACTAGGCTTATTAAATTTGTAACTTTACTTTTTAACTTTTCAATTAGCTTTTTACCTTTTTTCTTGTTAACCTTTTTTCAACTTAATTTACAGTAGGTAATATATCATTTAGGGCTCATTTAATTGGTCAAATGTTAAAATAAGATGTGCAGCCATGCAGCAGTATCTTTGCTGAATGGCTTGATATAGATCTTGTGCTTCTTGACCTCACTGAGGGACTCCATCTGTAAGGGGTATGCACGTGATCAATGGTGGTAACTTGCCCTATAAAGGGTTAACAAAAGCCATAAAAACACACAAGTCAGGTCAATCTATAAATCAAACCTGGAAGGATGGGGCTATAAAAAGCCATAAAAGCTTCGATTTATGGTTTGATACAAGCCATGATAGAGTAGAAAGGTTGTTCTGCACAGATAAGACTAAAAGTGAACTGCATGAAAAGTGCAATGAGTTGCAGAAAATTAACTGCAGATGAACCTGAGATCAAGATCCCCACATAAACCCACAGCGGTGGCAGCATCATCCTGTGGGGATATTTCAGTTTTCACTAAAATGTGAATGACTCCAAATATAGGACATTCCTGAAGATATGTGCACAGCACACTGTTTGGATTTTGATCTGTAAAATACTTTGAAGTCTCTATAAAAGGGACACAGTCATCCAAAAAAAAGGCTAAACAAAAAGGTGGAGGTCTACAAAAAGGCAGTGAAACAGCTGCTCTTTTAACGGTCAGTCAGCACCATGGACAGTGGCCCAAGTGGCTGAAGGTTGACCTCTGGGGCCCCCGGTCCATCATCAAGCAGAGAGAAAACACTGGAAAACTCACAGCCAGCACTCATTTTCTGATACCAACTGTTAACAAGAATCAGCCTATGCAGCTAAATCTTTCCCATTCACATAATCACTATGGATTGTCGTTTTTAAGGAAACAAACACTGATGTAGAGCATGTGAACGGAAGTGCAGCTAAGGCCTGACCACAGCAGTAACAAAGAAGTATTTGTAAGGAAGTTGATCAACATTATTTACTGAATAGTTGTGTAACCTCTGTATCTTTCCTAAACTTATTTAAAAATATCTTTAATAAGATTCAACATGCCTGATCAATGCTGCTTTTTATGACCTTAGATTGCATGATTAGCACTCTGTTATTGTCTTAGGAGCAGAAAGACAACATTTAAAGCAGCAGTGTTGCCCCTGTGTGTGGCTGCAGGGTTTGGTCTCTTTAAATGCTAAATATAACTGAGTCTAAAGCTGATACCCAAACGTCCTGGCTAATGTGGCGTTCACGGGCTGCCCTGGGCTCCGTCAGGAGTCTGCATACAAATATAGGCCATCTTAAAGTGATAAATATATGCTTCCCATTTGCTAAATGTTTATGTGGTAGCTGTAGCAAAACGTTTGTATATTTTAATGGACAGAATGAGGATGATAATCCAGCTAAAAGAGTCCCTAAAAGGGCGGAAGTTTACTGCACTTCTGTTGCAAAAAAAAGTGGTAAAATCGTGTTGTTTTGACAAGAGCCACAGCTGGGCTATAGTAGCTCTTATTACCTCTCTAAAACTCCCAAAAAAATACGTATTAGAGAATAAAACAAAACTCTCTCCGTGCTATTATCTTAAGCTTATGGTACAGAGTGGTCGAATCTCCTACGGCGCCTGAACACAGCAGATTACTCGACAACGCCCGTCCACAGAAACGAGACAAATTCCAAGAAAGCTCCACCAACACCCACCTTGTTCAGGTGGGGGTTTCTAATGACATCGTAGCCCTTCTTCTTGGTGTAAACAAGCGTCTTCTCGTTGTCTTTGGACTTGTGCATCTCCGTGTCCACTGACTCGCGCCTGGCCAGCCCGTGTGCCATGTCGTTGTCTCTTTAAATAGAGCCGCTGTGAAGTCAACAAGTGGACGCGCAGGTCTGGTTCTGGTCTCACGTCCGTCCCAGCGGGGGGTTTAAGAAGAGTCTCCTTATCAGCAGAGCTGTTTCACTGTAACTCACTAAAGGTCAAGATAGCAGCAGATTGTCTGCCTGTGTGGAGTGACACAACAGGAGCCTGTCACTAGAAATAAACGGTTACAAACCAGAACAAACTAGTTGTTTGTGTTATTCCAGTTTACTGGGATGATTACAGCATGAACATACACACCATTCTAACCAGTTACTGTTGTTGAAATCACATAAAATATGGAATATTTCCTGTGTTTATTCAAATTTGTTGCTTTAGTCCCTAAATTTAACAACTGAGGTAAAACACAGCGTCACCAGAAGTGGGGGAGATCAGTGATGATTGTCACAGGTGTCACTTTGATAAAATCTGAGTAAGAACTGCAGAATGTACGGAAGACGATTAGGGCCAGTGAAAAAAATGAAAAAAAGTTAACTCTTTTTAAATTTTATTTCAGTATAATATGAGGAAAAAAAGTCTGAATTCTGACTTTAATCTCAGAATTCTGACTTTTTTTCTCACATTTCTGACTTTAATCTAAGATTTCTGACTTTAATCTAAGATTTCTGACTTTAATCTAAGATTTCTGACTTTAATCTTAGAATTCTGACTTTAATCTCTGAATTCTGACAGCTAACAAACATGTTAGCATCAAGCCATAGCCAAGTCTGTTTTAGAGACTAAACTAGCTCTCTTGTTTTAATAACCTTCTGCTCTTCCATTAATGAAATAACATCCTTAAGGCATGTAAAAAGTCACCTAATTCCATAATTTTCCACCAATGTGGCACTGACCCTCTCAAAAAACTCACATCTTTGTCAGTGAAGCTGAGTGCTCTCACTTCTCTTCCTTCATGGTGCCCATCTACATTAAGATCCAAAATTCTGAGATTAAAGTCAGAATTCTGAGGGGGAAAAAAATCAGAATTCTGAGATTAAAGTCAGAATTTTGACTTTCTTCCCCTATTAAACTGAAATAATATTTAAAAATCAGTTAACTTTTTTTTAATTTTTATTTTTTTCAGTGGCCCTAATCCTCTTTCGTAAAAATGAAAGCAATTAAAGATAAAAAATAAAAATAAAAAAATGATACAAGCACATAGTAAAGCAAATAAAACAGTTGGTCCAAAACCTTAAACTAGTTACACCTAAATTAATCGTTTAACTTCGATGGTCCAAGGCAGTTCTAAACAAATGGGTTTTTAACTTTGATTTAAAAGAAGTTAGGCTTTCAGAACACTTCCAGTCTTGTGGGAGTTTTTTCCAGATCAGTGGTTCCTAGGAACTAAATGCTACTTCTCCATATTTGGTTCCAGTTCTAGGTGAACAGAGTAGGCTGGAACTAGAAGACCTGAGTGATCTGGGAGATTCAATACAATTAATTTATACTTTATTAATCCCACAAGGGAAATTTGTCATATATTGAGGTGCTGATCCATTCAGTGGTTTAAAGACTAACAGATGGATTTTAACGTCTGTTTTCTGTGCTGCAGGGAGCCATTGTAAGGACTTCTGAACCAGGCTGATGTGCTCTACTTTCTTAGTTCTAGGGAGAACACTGGCAGCAGGGTTTTGGATCAGCTGCAGCTGTCTGACAGACTTTTTAAGCCTGGCATACACTGTGCGATATTTGGTCAATTTTGAGATGAGTTTCTGGTCGTGCAACAAGTTTGGGGATCAGGCCGGCTCTTGGCCAAATGGTCTGCCATGCATCGTGCAACACTTGAAAGTATCACACGATGTATCTTAGGCTCTAGGCATTCCTATCAGACACCAGGACACTGTTTTAGTGTCTAGACTTAAAAATTCAAAATTTAGATCAAAAAATTTGTTAGAAAAGATATTTAGTATTGTGTGATGAGAAGTCTGTATTTTTCAAGTAAGAAAAAATAAATTTATAGATAAATAGAAATAATGTTTTTTATGTACTGGAGACAGTATTTGAAACAAAAAAAGCACAAGAATATAAAGAGAAAAGTCTAAGCTACAAGTTTTTTTTGTTTTTGTTTGTTAGGCTAGATAAATGTAGCAGTTGGCATAAAGAGGCATTACAGAGTTTTCTAATGACAATGCCACCTGTGGCCAAAACATGGAACCGCAGCACTCATTCTCGTAGCTCAAGCTCATTTGTTTTTCACTTTTTTCTCCTGAGTTGAGCTAGATGGCAGAATCTTCTGAGTATATACAATATGTATCTAATATAACGCTTCATTGTCTGCTAGGTCGAATCAATTAACATGGGTGCATTGATGGCACATCAGCCAAACAGTAAGGGAACTTATGACCCGTAATAAATTCAGATGCAGATGCATCTGCTATAGGTTTAGACTTCTGGAGGACATAGGGACTCCAATTTCATCATTCTGCTTCATTCTCTCTCTATTCTCCTACTCTGCAGAATCTGTTAGTTCAATCTCTAAGGTTATGCTCTCTCTGCTTTTTCTCATAGGAGCTTTGCCTCGTCTGTTTCTGTTTGGCTGTGACGCCATCCTGGAGAGAAACATCAGCTGTGCTGCTTCCATCAACACCCTTGTTTATAGATGCTGGAGATCGGCCTGTTTTCCAGTGTAGTCCTGTTTCTCTGACCGTGACTGGCTGGATGTGCTCTCTTCGTCCTCTGGCATGGGAGCTGGCTCTGTGCTCGTCGGCTTGGCTGTGTGTTTCCTGGACGGGGCCGCCGTCAGCTGCTTGCTGCTGCTTTTGTATCTCTGCTTCTGTCTCCTTGAACCCCAGTCAGCCTCAGCAGATGGCCGCTCACACTGAGCCTGGTTCCGCTGGAGGTTTCTCCCTGTTAAAAGGGAGTTTTTCCTCTCCACTGTCGCTACAAGCATGCTTAGTGTGAGGGATTGTATTTGAGTCAATGAGTCGATGCAATCAACTGGTTTTCCTTAGAGAGAAAACTTTGAATCAATCTGACTGTATGATCTGGTTGAACTGTAAAGTGCCTTGGAATGACTTGTGTTTTGAATTGGCGCTATAGAAATAAACTGAATTGAATTGAATCTGTCACAGGCTACAGATGCATCCGCGCTGAAATACTAAGGTGTCAGTCTGCTCATCATGTTCATGATGAGCTCATGATGTTTTAGTTATAAAGGGTCAAATAAAGGATATTTAAAATATATTTTTTAGTAAAAACTTACATAATGTCACTCTAACTTCTCAGAAAAAAAAAAAAAAAAAACGTTGGTTGTCACTAGTGAGAACAACTTTCTATAGTTTGCCAATAACTTTCAAAGTACCTATTGGTAAAGACTGGAAACAGAACATATAAGTTTGGTGGATTCATAGAAAAATCAAGTGCATTCAATATGACAATGTCAATTTATTCTTTGTATTTTAAAGCCATTTATCCCAATTAAAAATCAGCGGGGTCCAAATAAAGAAAATCATCTACCAGTAAAGGTCCAGAGAAATTTTTAATTATAATATGTTACTTTAAACTGAAATAACTACTGATTTACTGAAATAAAATGAGGTGCGTATACATTCAAGTTATACATTGAATTATTAAATCAAAAAATATGAAAAATAAAATAGAATTTTTTTTCCATTTTAAAATCTGAAGTGTTTCTTTAAGTAGAAAACAAAAATTGTTCAGTTTGGTACATAGACAGTTTCCTGATTCACATATTTTATTAAATACGTGAACTGACTGTTTTTTTTTCTTTCTTTTTTCTAGCTTAATAAGAGCAGTGGGCTTTATGCTGCCCTGCAAGGCTTTAAACCTGGGTTTGAACTGCAACAAAGTTATTCTAAAGCACATATCAAGGTGCTCATTTTGAGCCTGGATCCATATTTATTTTTTATTCTGTTCATGGTGGAGAATCCTGCTTCATAGCAGCAGGTTGAGCCAAACATACTCAAAATGTGCAGGGTCATCTTTGAGCACCATTTCACTTTTCTGTGGACCCTGCTTGCCATAGGTTTTGCCTGCTGTGTCTAAAAGTAGTAGCAGCAGCAACCCAGACTGACAGCTTATTTGCTCATTTATATTACATGCAGCCTGGTCTCGGACGCTCCGGAGGGCTTTACCATATTACCGGAGAAGTGGCGCAAGTGAAATTAGACACTGCTGTTGCACAACATGCTGTAATTTATAGATTTTTTAAATCAGGCTGGGTCCAGATTAGCCAGCAGGTGGGTCCGGATCCAGGCCACAATCCTCTGATCCGTGACCCCTTCTCTACAAGTTAGAACTGAATCAAATAGATTTTTTGTTTCATTTTTGAGTTTCTAACGTGTTTTCATGCAATTTAAATTATCTTTATTTAATTTTTTTTCCAGACTAAAGTTTTATTTTCTGGAATTTCGACAATTGTAAAACAAAACATGACAAAAATAACCAATCTCTCCTGTTCTACCCGCTTCTACATCCAGAAACTTCTATTCACTTTTTAAGGATATGAAAGTCCAACTCTTAGAAGTATATATTTGGCAAGTGGAAGAAAATATTATGTAAAATGTCTCTTAATTTCACCTTTACTTTACAAAATGTCTGAAGTGGGGATTTTTAATTCAGTATTTTAACATTTATTGTAAATTTAGATTTAGATTTTAAAACGCTCACTTTAATGCATGGATGCCTCTTTCAGAATCCCTTTTTGCAGACACCAAATTATCTTTTATTTTTCTCCATCCATTTTTATCCATTAACTCCAAGCATCTTTCCTGTTCTGGCTTAATAAAAGTAAACTCACACCACGTTCTTGCCACCATCATGTATCGGAGTGGGATGATGTGTACTGTTAGTTTTTTTCCTGGACACAAATTGTTGCAAACTGCTCGGTTTGGCCACATCTAACTACTGTTAGAACTACTGTTCTTCCATGACTTATGCCTGTAAGTGGTCATAAGTACAGACCATTTAAAGGCCATGATGGTCAGATCAAAGAATTTATAACAGTTATCCTTTTAAAGGATTATTTTACCTGAGCTGTGGATGTTTGTGGCTGTTTTAGAAATACTTTTCTGACTGATGTCCTTCTATTACAGCCTGTCTTGGTAAGTTATATTGCACCTTTTCCACTTTATTCAGAGAAAGGTGGGATGTATAATGTGTCAGAGTAAGGTGGTCTGAATATATGTTCACTTTTCAGATTATCTAT